CACACACACACACACACACACACACACACACACATAGCAGTGATAATAACACATTATCTAGTCCGTCGGACATGAGGGATTGTAATGAAATACCTGACCAAGCGTGAGTTGTTTACCTGAGACTTGTCCTGAATGTGTCACCTGCCTCTTCCAATGCCGTCACATTACCAAGACGTCTGGACGGCCTGGTGGAGATTCGTCCAGATCAGTCACACCACAGTCACACAAGAACACACACGCACTAAATCTTCCTCGCTTTTGTTTTTGTCACACAGAGAAATATTTTCTTCTAGCCCTGCAGGGCAGGACAGAACTCATATCAGAAGCTATTATTCTCCCGGACGCTGTATGTCCAACCTGTACTACACAGAACACTGTTATTGCTTTAACCTCTTTATGAAGACAGGGCTATATGGAGATGGACTGTGCAGTATTTCCACCATCAGTCCTCTGTGCCTTTTAATGTCGCTTGATTTGATAATGCGACCCTGTACATCGATCCGCGAGCGAGGTACAGCGTTTTTGTATTAGACTCACCTGAAGGTAAGCTGCCCGTGAATGGAAAGACGTTCAGCACTACATTCAGTGATCCATAGCAAATTGAAATTTGGGGGGATTTTCCTTCCAGATATTTGCAGGATACAAAAAAAACAAAAAAAACAAATGTTCATTCCAATTGTTTTTCTTTGCGGTATTTAATCATAAGTACAGTAATATATAAGTGTAAGTAAGGATGTGCATATACTTAGAATAAAACCCTTTAGTGACAATTGGCCATAGCATTAAATATACTTTATAAGAGAGTTTAATTTTTTACAAAATAGAATATTTGAATGAGGTGTTGTGTGGCTGGCAAAACATCACCAGGCTTCTAATCGACTTTACAACGACTGAACGCACTGATGATGCCCACATCACTTACAATCTAACTTAATCCAGTCTTAATAACCAGCCGTATAACGATAATGGAAGTGCGGTAACTGTGGAAACAAGAGCAGTGCTGAAACACAAATCATATGATCAACACTGAGAGCCAAGTTAGCTGAGATGAGAACGAACAGGATCATTTCAGCCCGATAGGCCGCGTTAGAAGAACAGGGAACTTGAAGTAATACATGCTACATAATGATCTGCCCACACACAGACACACCAGAATATTACGGGTACAACTAGTAGCATCTGTAAGACACTGTAATTCTACTTTTCCGAATTCTGTAACACACCCTGAGCCCTTCTTGTTACGATAGGGGGACAAGTGTTAAGATAGAGAATAGAAAATACCAGGAGCAGCTTCAGTCAGAAACTATTGATATCTGCACTGGCCTTCAAGAGGGGGGAGGGGGGGGTCTCTGTGGCTCAATATGATGTATATCCAGAGAATTCGTGCTGGAGGCCACCAGCTCTGCGAATGGTCTCAGGGTGCTCCCTCTCGGCCTCAAGGCTCACACACCAACACAGGAGCAAACATGCATAAGCAGTTTTTCTATTTACTCTTTTTTTTTACTTTCTGCCTGTTTAACACTCATGCACACACTGAACAAAGCTTAGCCACCATCACACACACACACACACACACACACACACACACACACACACACACACACACACACACACACCCAAGGTTTAGCCACAGGCCCTCCTGTGCTCGGCGGACCATTGGATTTTTAATTAGCGCAGCAGTGAATCAACAAGGCCAAGCTCTGAGGAGAGATGCGCAGGCCATGGTTAAAGCTCAGCGTGGCCTCAAGTCGACCCTGTCTCACACAGCACCCTCACAATACACAGGGGCGGGTGCGGGGGTGCGCTTGGTTAAAGTTCATGGGCGCTATGAATCATGGAGAATCGGATGAGTTTTGGGAGCAGTGAATGTTGTTTCTCGTGACGGAGGGAGCTGCTCCGCTGGCCTGCCAGCCCGAGGGTGTTACACCAGTCTCTGAGCAGAGATAGTGCAGAGTGACTGTGCTACAAACTGCCACTGTGATTAAAAAGATATGTGAAATTGCAAGCTAGCCAGATCACTATCCTGAGACGAGGGGAGCCGTGGAGAAAGAAATTGTCTACAGCAGCTGGATTTACTTTTCAAAAGCAATTCATGGAGTCCCCCGTCCCCCTTTTCATTTTGAAACAGAGGAAAATATGAACCCTAAATACTTCATAACCTTGAGGAAACGGGTAGAGTTGATCTTCATCATGGCCACGTTTGACCCCTAACCCCGCTGTCACTCCGAGGGTGCGTTCTACTGATGCATGGCTCTGTCATCCCCTCGTGGTGTGACACCAGTCAATAGCTTTGATTAGCGAGCAGCGAGCTGGACTGAAACACAGCAGGGTCAGACTGTAGACGCTGCGTCCGCTGCTTTGATTTTTAGCGCGTGGTGTGCGCGTGCGTGCGTGTGTGTGTGTGTGTGCGTGGGGCAAAGGGAGAGAAAGACAGAGGGCCTGTGTAACAGAAAGCACTGATTGTGCTATTTATTTCTGCTTACTTCCGGGGCCACGGCGGGCTAATCAATACAGAAAGGGCTCGAGGACGTTGTGTCTGGCAGGTTTAGATGGACTGCGATGCTGTTTTTATCAGCACGTGCACATGCAAATCCGATTTTTCAGTCTGATAATGCTTACATATATAATACGATCAGCCTACAGAGTCAACGTGGACGGACTGGAAGAGCAAAGCTGGATTGAATTAGACCATTAATGTGATTGTTTTTAATGCAGTGGCCCAGTGTTGTTTTTTTTCTTTTATACCAAAGACAGAACATGCCAGATAGTATATCTCTGTGTTGGTGTTCCCTCCGCTGACCCCCATGTTTGTGTGTCATCAGGCGATGTTCAGCTTGTGCATGGTGGAGAGTGAGGCAGACGAGGTGACTCTGCAAGGGGTGACCGGCGTTGGACTGAAGCACGCTTTGGACTTCGCCTACACCGGGCAGGTGAGCCCGAGCAACAGCCACCACAGCTGACCAGACTAGCCCCTTTCACAGGGTTTTATTGTGATATATTTATTTGTATTAACAGCGATGCAGCTTACTTTATAAGAAGATGTTTTGCATGTAAAACTCTTTATCTTTCAAGGTTCCATATAGAGGATTCAGAGAGTATTTGCAGTGTGAAGATATAGTGGAGTCATATCTACCTGGGCAGAGAATGTAGTAACGCTAGCTCTCTCTTTCCATGTGTCATAATCTCATCTTCTCTCTGCTTTGTTTACATGACGGAGCTATTTTAGTGCATGTGAGTCTCTCTGTTGTGCCCTACTGGCTAGCTAATCGCCGGCGCTCTGCACTACGCTCATACGTCGATTACCGCTGATAACGCCGTCCCGACCCACGCCGTCCTGGTCCCCAGCTCCCAAAAAAACAGCAGGCGCTGTTGCCATTGTTCGCGCCGTTAGCTGCTAGCCGCCGGCTCAGTCGTTGCCATTTTGAGAGCCGTGTGGAGGCAATAAAAATTTAAAAAAATAATCTTCAAGCTACTTCAGTGTTTATTATAAGAGTAGAATGTTGTATTTCCCTCTAAAAAGCAGTTGAATATATGTCTACAGTAGCAATTATCATTACAGTTACACATTACAGTGGTTACTTTTCACCATTGCCAAATATGTCACCGAGATAAATCAGAGCAGGACATCTGCAGATTACCACTTTAATCTCGGCAGCAGGGGCTTCTACAGCAGCGTGCCTCTGGATACAGTGGTATCCAGCTGTTAGCAGGTGCTGTCATCCCCCTGCCCTCTGTGGTCACACTGCGGAATGTTATTCTGGGATCCAAACAAGAAACACAATTATATTCAAGAAGGCAGAAGTAAAGAGGACAGTATTACATTTCACGCGGGTGAGGTCACTTGTCCTCGCCCTCTCGCCCCGTCAACAAAAGAATCGTTTGCGATCATTTCTAATCAACTTTTTTTTTTTTTTTTTTTTTGCAGTTGCCGGCGATGCTCGGTCCAATAAGCAGACTAGCGGCTTAGGCAGCAGACCCGAGAGGCCGGAAACTTTGTAATTACTCCTAATTTTATTTCCATAGTGGAAATGAGCAAAGAGGGAGCCGGTTAGGCAGCGTAAGTAGGTCAACAGCAGGCTTGCGAGCCGCCCTGCTTTGGTTGGCTCAGAGCCTCTGTTCGCCTGGTGGAGATGATAGCAGATGAGATGAGGGCAATATGCTTATCTCCCACACCGTGAATAATGACCTACTAAATAATCCTTCAGCCACATGTCATAGGCCGACAGGGCCGAATCAGGACGATGCTCTCTGCCCGGAAGTCAAGTTAGTAACTTCAATGACATTTTCACTGCATGCCAAGATGACAAATGCAGTGTTATCACCCACAGACATGACTTTTATTTTCCCAGACGGTAAATCTTTCATTCTTTCAATCATTCTGAGTAAAGAGAGAGAGAGTGATGCGAGGCTACAATGGGTCAGATCCTTTTGTAGAAGACGTCTACACTCTACCTCCCTTCATTTCCGCCTTCTCCCCCAGGTGAAAGCGCGCAAGTAACCAGCGCAATAAACGTTAGTTTGCACAAGAGCCACGCTGTTATAAAACCGACTTGTGTGCCGTGCGAGGTTGAAGTGCTCTGACTGGAGTGGAGAGGAGAACAGCGCCGTTCACTTACAGTTATTGCAGTCACGTTATTATTTTTGGGCTGCTGCCTGCCGGGACGCTGATTGAGTCAAAGAAGAAAAAGCAATAAAATAATAATTGAACGTTTGTTGCTCTTGATCACAAGTTTATCTCCGCGGGATAAATGTGCAGATGCAGGTAATTGCAGAGAGGAAATGGAAAAAAAGAGGTAACATATAAACAAATTGCTTGATGATTTTTTTACATGAGTTATAATAAGCGGACAAACATGCATGGGAAGGAAAGCAGCACATTTTCTATCCAGATTTGTTTTGTCCAGATTAAAAACAGGAGCTGCCTTTCCATGCTCTCAAAAATCAGAAAGAACGAGGAGGCCTGAGCAAAAACAACAAAAAAACAGATACCCGTGAATGCTGATTAACAATATTCCAGCCCACTGCTGTGTCAACGATATAGTGAGAGGCGAGGGAGACAAATGATCCACAGACAAAAAGTCATTTTTTCACACTTTCACTGCTGATGCAGTCACAGCTCTGTGGCTATGTAGGGCAACGCTGCTAAATGTATTATCAAAGGTTTGTTCCTACCCTTTAAAGCCAAACATTTTATTTGGAGTAGGTGAATCCGCCATGTGAGAGGTAACACGGGGCATGTTTAGTCTGATTGGGCTATTATTCCAACGATTCAGACAACATTTAACTCCATGTGGTTGTGTTTGTGGGCTGGGAATAGAATAAAAAAATAAAAAAGGGCAGTTAAGCCTCCATCGAGTACACAACGTGCTCCCTGGCACTGTGAGTTGGCTGTATTACAGAGCTTTATGTTGCATATGGGTGGGTAATATGGAGGAAACAGAAGGAGGCTTTCAGCAGATCATTTCAGCTGCTGTTCTGTCAGCTCGACCGGAAGCGTTTTGGGCAGAATCAGTGACGAAACAATTGCCAGAATATGTTGCTTTGATTTGGAGGACGATCACGGTGAATCGGGCACATTGGTGGAGCCATTTCTTGTTATAAGCGGCCCGATCCGTCACACTCATTCGCCCTGTCTCTATTGCGCCATTTAAAACATATTAGGTAACCTGGCGTACGGACAGCATTCTCAGTGTTTAAAAAAAAACAAAAAAGGAAATGTGAATAATGACAAAAGACATATAGGATGCTGCCTGGTTTAGGTTTAGTCAGGTGACTTGTAGGCTTTAACTCAGGTCACACTGCACATACTGTTACACACAGCTGATTTTCAAAACGTATTGGTATCTTTTGATATAGCCCAATATACTTTCTGTTTATATTGTGCTGTGTTACAGACAGGCTAACTGCTCAATGACTGGCCCATACCAAACAAAAACGAATGGGCCCAAATAGGGCGTCAATGACTTTAAAATGTAAGAATTTAGAAAAAAATGTCCAAAATAATTTCTCCAAACCCAAATACCTGAAACAATATTTAGTAAGTATTCATTTTACTTTCATGTATGACAAAGAAAAGCAACAGCCCCTCTCATTTGAGAAGCTGGAACCAGATAACGTTTGGTGTTTTTGCTTGCAAAACGATGGAAATGAGTTATGATCAAAACAGTTGTCGATTCATAACCTGAAACATAAAACACACCAAACACTGGCAGCGTGAGGCCAAACAGGAAAAAGGACCTGTCATACTGGTATAAAGTTATTAGTGCAGTCCATCCAATAGCTGCTGAGACATTTCACTAAAAACCCAAAAGAACTTTCTGGTGGTGCTAGAAGAAAAGTAAAGGGATCACCAACATCAGAGTATTGGATCCCCAGGGGACCATGAATATCTGTAACAAATCCCATGGATGTCCATCCAATAGATGTTGAGATATGTAACTCTGGACCAAAGTGGTGGACCGACCGACGTCGTCTCAACCGAGAAAAACAACGATTCTCAACTATCTTGACATTTCCATGAAGTTATGACTATTATTATTTTTTTAAACTAACACTAAAATGCTTTTAGGCAATGAGCCTGATAATGAACTGCAACCCAACCACAGTGAATGACCTTGTTCATCTCTGGACAGATCCTGCTGGAGCCAGCGGTGATCCAGGACGTCCTGTCTGCAGGCAGCCACCTTCAGCTGCTGGAGCTCCTCAGTCTCTGCTCCCACTACCTCATCCAGGTATACGCACACACATACACAAACACACACACACACACACACACACACACACACACACACACACACACACGCACACACACACACACACAGGTCCTACCAGGTTAATGAAAATCCTGTAATATTATGGCGTTCCACTCATGATTTGATCCTATCTGCAGGGAATACCAAGAAAATGTACAAACGGGCCACTTAACTTGAAGTGCAATATCTTTTCTATTTATGCTTTATTCCACACATTTACTGTATTAGTGTCAGCATCCAATTCTCAACTGCACTAGACACCAATGATAATTCCCCTTTACACAAACAACGGAGCAGCATGGACCAGGATGTACAGGTTTTAGTGTGGAGTGCCCCGTACATAGGGATTATGGTGAATACATACTGACGTGGCCTCTTCATCTTTATTGTGATAGAGTAAAAATCTAATATAAAACAAGGCTGCCATCTGTACCAACATCACAATGTTCTTCCTTGTACTGTGTATTATAATTTTTTTAATGTAAGGCAATAACAGAAATCCAGATTAGGTGTTTAAAAGGCCAAAGAGTACAGATTTCTTTTTGGAACAATCCTGGACACAAACGATAAACTGGAAACTCCAAAACCCAGATTATAACCCAGATAGCGGTGTGTAAAAACAAAAACAGTGAAGAAACAAATGGTGCGTGTGCTGACAGCAGCGACAGTAACATCAACCAAAGGAACAGTTCAACATTTTGGGAAATGCACTTATTGGCTTTCTAGCTGAGAGACAGATGAGAGAGGATCAATACTGCTCTCAGATTTGTTTGCTGAACATTAAGATAGAGCCAGGAGACAGTTAGTTTAGCTTAGCATAGCACAAAGCCTGGAAACAGGAGGCTAGCAGCTATGTTGAATTATTTCTTCAAGCGAACATCACTGCAAAGTTTGACATCAAAAGTAATTTGTGGAAACAAAAATAAACTGTTGCATTTATTCAAATTCAACAATGTCCAACCTCTTCTGTAAAGAATAGGCTAGTGTGAATCCTCCCCCACTGGGAGGTTACAGGTCCGATTCAGTGTGCCGCTCCAGGACACTTCATTGGGGTTGGATGCTTGTCGGCTAAGGTGCCCGAGTCCAGATCTCCTCAAGAACTAGGCCACCCTGCTGCTTGTTTAATGCGTTTTATCCCAGAGGCCGAGATGGATCTGATGGAACAGAGGCAAAGTCAGCCTCCGTTCCTCTGGGTACGCGGCCAAAAGCTGCTGCAGACAAATCGGGTTGAGTTTGTTGCAGAGCAGAGCCACTCTGAGGAGTCTCATGCACAGTTTTCCCCTTGAGCTCTCAATGCATTTTGCAGTGGTTCCACTTAATTACACACGGTAATAATTACATTTCATCTTGTGCTTCTCGAATCCCTGCCACCAGACTGTAATGTTTTTTATACTGTATGATACCCATCCACCTCAACTTAGCTCAAATGTGCCATCTGGTGGTCGCGAAAGTTACCTCTCTATTGGTTTGCAGTGACCAGACTGTACCTCACTATAAACAAATACAAAACTCCTGAATATTGTCATGGATTGTGTTTTTTTCTCTTTTGTTTGTTCATCTGCTTACATCCTTGTTTGCACAGCACACGCCAGCTGACTGCTTCACTTGGTATGTGGTTAGGGTGCATAGTGGGGCGGTAAGGCCGGACCAATAACATTGATTTACCAATACACGCTGCACCAGTTGATTGAAAATCCAATGCGTCGGCCAATCAGGATCCTCCTCCTCCAATGTGCAGAATTCAGTAAATTGAATATTGAATAGCTGATCGATGCTACACCGGCTGTGTGTGTGTGGCGCTTTGAGTCCTTCATTTGAAGTGATTCTAATGAGACATTTTGACTCATATGTGTGTGTGTGTGTGTGTGTGTGTGTGTGTGTGTGTGTGTGTG